GAGACAGAGTCTCGCTTTGTTGCCCAGGCTAGAGTGAGTGCCATGGCGTCAGCCTAGCTCACAGCAACCTCAAACTCCTGGGCTCAAGCAATCCTCCTGCCTCAGCCTCCCAGTAGCTGGGACTACAGGCATGTGCCACCATGCCGGCTAATTTTATATATATATATATATCAGTTGGCCAATTAATTTCTTTCTATTTTATATAGAGACAGGGTCTCGCTCAGGCTGGTTTTGAACTCCTGACCTTGAGTAATCCGCCTGCCTCGGCCTCCCAGATGCTAGGATTACAGGCGTGAGCCACCACGCCCAGCCTCAAGTATTTTTTAGGATGTTTCTGGTTATATATTTTGCTAAGTCAATAAAATCCCTACTCTCAGCAATACATGCACAAACACACACACACACTCATACACAGATAGTTTATCTTCCCACCAAAGAAGAGAGTTTTATTTTTCAATTTAAAATATTCATTACATGTATAAATGACATTTCATAATTTTTCTTATGTAGGCTTTTTACATTTCTTGATAATTAACTCCCAAGTTAGTTCATACTTTTCTTAGTTGAGCCTTCCTTCTGTATAATTGATTAAAGTTATTTATATAAAAGACCTGGATACTATATTTTAATATTATATTCCATTAGACTATTATATTGATTCAAGGTAGTTTTAATTTTTAGAATAATTTTTAGTTGATATTTAGGCTTCTGGGATATGTATTCTTGTGCTGAACAAACAGATGATATTTACCCTTTACTTTTGATCATTAATTGCCTTTACTTATGTCTCTCAAAGGTACTAAATAAAGAAGTGATATAGGCCGGGCGCGGTGGCTCACGCCTGTAATCCTAGCTCTCTGGGAGGCCGAGGCGGGCGGATTGCTCAAGGTCAGGAGTTCAAAACTAGCCTGAGCAAGAGCGAGACCCGTCTCTACTATAAATAGAAAGAAATTAATTGGCCAACCGATATGTATATAAAAAAATTAGCCCGGCATGGTGGCGCATGCCTGTAGTCCTAGCTGCTCGGGAGGCTGAGGCAGAAGGATCTCTGGAGCCCAGGAGTTTGAGGTTGCTGTGAGCTAGGCTGACGCCACGGCACTCACTCTAGCCTGGACAACAAAGCGAGACTCTGTCTCAAAAAAAAAAAAAAAAAAGAAGTGATATAGGTTTCCACCATCATATCTGAATTTAGTGAGAATTAACCAACTACTTCTTTACAAATTAGGTTAATAGGTTTAGAGCTCAATCATGTCTGCGCTAATAAAGTTAAAGACATACCCAAAAATGTGTTATTGGTTATTTTCTTTATCATATCACATATAGAATTCAGCCAAATAGATTTGTTTGGATATATAAACATGAACATATGTTGTCATGATTAATACATGACATACATGTATTAATACATATGATTATATTAATGTATATCTAATAAAATAATCATATGTATCAATACATATGATTAACTATATTAATGTATTTCTGAATAATGAAATTATTGGATTCTGGTACAAGCTGTGCTTGATGGTGCTATAGTATTTTATTTTTGGAGACATTTCTTAATATTATATTAATAATTTTGAAAAAGGTATATATAATTTTTTTCAATTATCTATGATTATGTTTGTAAGACTTTGGAAAATTATTGGCAGCATTATTCTTCAGTAATTTTTTATCGCCTAAGTAGCACAGGTTTTTGTGGTAGTTAAGAGTAGTAGCTCGCGGGCTGGCTGGGGCCTGAGGTCGGAACTCGGAACCCGGAGCCCGGACGGCCGGGGCGGGCGGGGGGGGGGCTGCGCGGGGCGGGAGCGGTGGAGGTGGCCGCCCTCGCGGCGGCGGGTTTGTTTATCCGGGAAGAAGTTTAGGAGCGAGAGATAGAGAAGGAGGCGGGCCGGGGAGGAGGATGCGGTTCGGCGGAGGCGGCCGCCACAGGGACTCGCCGCCATCACCCCCGCCGCCACAGCCTCGGGCTCCGGAGCCGCAGCGGCCGCCGCCTCAGCAGCACCGGGGCCGCCCGACTGCCAGCTGCCGCCCGGACGTCCGGACAAAGTACTCAACTGTGTAGGGTACTACATAAATCCTAAAAGACTGCAATAAAGTGGCAATGTCTCGAGAACCACCCCACCTCTACTTGGAGATATGTCTACTGGTCCTATAGCAGAAAGCTGGTGTTATACACAGGTTAAAGTAGTAAAATTTTCATACATGTGGACCATTAATAACTTCAGTTTTTGTCGAGAGGAAATGGGTGAAGTGTTAAAAGTTCAACATTTTCATCTGGCCAAATGACAAAATGAAATGGTGCCTGAGGGTAAACCCAAAAGGATTAGATGATGAAAGTAAAGACTACTTGTCCTTATATTTGCTTTTAGTCAGCTGCCCCAAAAGTGAAGTTCGAGCAAAATTCAAATTTTCCCTTCTGAATGCTAAAAGGGAAGAAACAAAAGCAATGGAAAGCCAAAGAGCGTATCGATTTGTGCAAGGGAAGGACTGGGGTTTTAAAAAAATTCATTAGAAGGGATTTTTTGCTTGATGAAGCTAATGTCTTCTTTACCAGATGACAAGCTTACATTATTTTTGTGAGGTGAGTGTGGTCCAAGATTCAGTAAATATATCAGGACATACTAATACAAATACTTTGAAGGTGCCTGAATGTCGACTAGCAGAAAGATTTAGGTAATCTCTGGGAAACACAAGATTTACAGATTGCAGTTTCTTTGTGAGAGGACAAGAATTTAAAGCTCATAAATCTGTGCTTACAGCTCGATCCCCGGTTTTTAATGCAATGTTGAACATGAAATGGAAGAAAGCAAAAGAATCGAGTGGAAATAAATGATTTAGACCCTGAGGTATTTAAAGAGATGATGAGATTCGTTTACACAGGGAAAGCACCAAACCTTGACAAAATGGCTGACAACTTGTTGGCAGCTGCCGACAAATATGCACTGGAACGGCTGAAGGTCATGTGTGAAGAAGCTTTGTGTAGTAACCTCTCAGTAGAAAATGTTGCTGATACCCTTGTCCTTGCAGATTTGCACAGTGCAGAACAGTTGAAAGCACAAGCCATAGATTTTATAAATAGGTGCAGTGTACTTCGACAACTTGGGTGTAAAGATGGGAAAAACTGGAACAGCAACCAAGCAACTGACATAATGGAAACAGCAGGGTGGAAGTCCATGATTCAGTCTCACCCTCACTTAGTAGCAAGAAGCCTTCCGAGCACTTGCATCTGCAACAGTGTCCACAGTTTGGCATTCCACGTAAACGGCTAAAACAGTCCTGAATCTTCCCATGAATAGTAGAAAAATGGAATTGACTTTTACTCCTCCAGGTCCAGAAGGATTGTAATACACAAACCATAAGCAAGAGTTGTTTCTGTTATTTGTCCACAGAACAGAAGCTGAAAAAGCATATTGCTTAACATTTCAGGTGGATAATTTATGGTTATTCTTCAGCTTTAAATTAGACTGATTAATTCACTTCAAGGCCTTAAATTATCTTTGGTGACTTCTCTTGTTCATATAATACTTTAATTTTGTTATTGTGCCTTGTCATTATGCCAAGGCTATGCAGGATTGCACTAGCTCCATAATGC